TATATACAGTTTGTCACAGCCCCTCATTTGTTGTCCTCTTCTCCCTCTCTGCCTACGGTTTACCGGGCAGTTCTATTTGACGATATATATATATATATATATATTTATATATATATATATATATATATATATAAAATATATATCTTTCTCTCCACGCTACATCACCTCCGATGCGGGCAGTCCGTCGCCTTGCACCAACACCGAGTCGTCACCCCGCTTAGTTCCAGTACGCAAGCCCGATTCGCCCGTGCGTCACAGTCCGTCGTGGCCCGCACGTCAACCCCGCCTACCCGACACCAGCTCGTCGGGTCGCTCGGGATTATGGCTAAGTGAGGGGAAGGGGACGAGAAGGAAGTGCCTACACCTGCATGGCCAAACCGCGGCGTGGGGGACGCAGCCACACTCCAGGCATCCATCCGGTCATGCAGTCGCTCAGGCCAATTAGAGTGGATGACGAGGTATGCACGACAGAGGGGAAGAAGGCGGGGAAACATGAGAGAATCAAGAAGGAGTACAGTTACAATCACGCCCGCCAAAAATTACAGTTACATGTAGGATTAAGGGCGCGATACAGTCAGAGACCAGTTCCCACTGCGGTGAGAGGTGCGCGAGCAAGAAGCGCGGCGCAACAAAATTCCAGAGCACCTAAATTCCTAGTCTAAATCCTATTTGCAAAAAGAAATTCCGAAGAGCTTAAAAGAAACAATTTCAAGAGTTCGTCATCCGTTGTAAATTTGAAAACGACATTCCCGCGTGCTAATCGCGTCAAAATTCTTATCAACCACAGCGGAACAAGAAAGAAGTTATGGCAGCCGTTATTTATTGCGCTTACTAAGGCATGGTCACTCAATCGTCGTCGAGGGACTTTCCCGGCTCTGGTCCCGAAAGCAAAGAAAGAAAGAAGCGAGGATATCCATATAACTTGCCCGGCCAACCCTCCATCTTTCACCCGACCAACCAACTTCCAACCCCCGAAGTCGCTTCTCGCAGAAAGTCGTGCAATTGCAGAAAATAGTTCGTCACAATGCAACATGTCCTATGATCGCGGGACTTTTTCAAGGGAAGTGGCGTGTTTTTGTGGGCGGGTGTGCGGGGTTCCAATTTCGCGGTGTAGCAAACCGGCCATCACACATTGGAAATTGTGGCCCGAGTCGAACATTCCAGGACTACCGTTAGGACCAAGGAAAATAAATAAAATAAAATAAATCCGCCTTCTTTTTCGGTACAAAGTACGGGGTTGCCCTCTTTTGAAAATTCGAAAAACTAAGGACCAAGGGAAAGAAATAAAATAAAATAAAATCCGCCTTCTTTTTCGGTACAAAGTGCGGGGTTGGCCTCTTCTGAAAATTCGAAGAACTACCGCCCCCTTGCAAATCACGCTCGCGCCTCCACGTACGAGACTGTTTCCACTTCCGCTACATTCCGGGATGGGATCCTACTTTCGTGCAAAGAGGTAGGATCCCAAAATTTGCCTAAAAGTGCCCTACGTATAAGAAGTGGGATTTGCCCCTTAGGCCTGGACCCCACAACTTTGCAGATGGAAAAGTGTTTTTCCCTCGATAAGCGGGTAAACAATTTTGGAAAGTTGGCAAATGTGTTCCGGGAATCCCACCGCATACTGTGTTTTGTGGCAAAGTGAGACCAATTATTCCCGTAAAAGGAAGGAAAGGAGGAATCGGACAGACCGGAAAAGGAAAGTGAGGTAGTGTCTGTATGGTTTTGCAAGGACCGTACCATAGGACCCACACAACACTGCGGGTGACATGGAGGTCTACACGAGCATGTTCCAGGAACACATATCAACGCACTCACGAAAGTCCGGGCGCCGTCCGTGACCTCGGAAACCTTCAGACATCCCCACCCCCCTACCCTCCCTACCCCCCTACCCCCCTATCCTCCCCACCCCCCTACCCTCTCCACCCGGCACAAAATCGCGGCAACAATTAACCATGTGAAAACGATAAACCCCGTTCTTTCACCCCGACGATTTCGGGTTGTGGGGTACCAGAACAACTTTCTTGGGGAAAAAAAAAGAAAAAAGACGGCCTTCCAAGGACTCCACGGAGGGTTGTGGGGTACTGGCAATGAACTGTTGAACTCCCAATGAAATCATGATGCGTGAATTTACAAGTTTATATTTCACAAAAAAAAAAAAAAAAAAAAAAAAAAACTCAATCCCAACTCCGAAACTGAAATTTGGACCAAGAGAGAAAATTCATTCACTAATGTGATTTGAAATCTATCTATCTATCTATCTAATCTATCTATATATATACATATATATCCCATCGTTTGTTGTCCTCTTCTCCCTCTCTGCCTACGGTTTACCGGGCAGTTCTATTTGACGATATATATATGTATATATATCGTCACAAACAGAACTGCCCGGTAAACCGTAGGCAGAGAGAGAGAAGAGGACAACAAACGAGGGGTTGTGACAAACTGTTTCGTCGGAGTTTCACCGACTCATCAGGAGGCTGAACCCTCAACAGTCTGCAGAATCCCCTCACTGATTACACTGTAAATGATAATCTACCTTAACCAAAATCAAAGTAGACTATCACTCACCCACATCAGATGGAAAACTCTACAGACTGTCGGTTCACACCCCATCACAAGCCAGCAAAACATCCACGAAACAAAGAAAGGTCTGTCACAGCCAAAAAATACACTCCAGACACGCCGCTGGCACTAGAGGCACAGCATGGCCGCCTATATATATATATATATATATATATATATATATATATATATATATATATATATATATATATATATATATATATATATTAAAACGCAACAATTTTATTCACCCATCAATGAACTGAGGCCGGGGACCTCACAATTCCACCCGGAAGTTATCCCTGCAGTATCAGTCGGTTTAGCTTATCGTCAATTCCTTTACACCAATTTATTAACTTCCTACAAGTCTTTGCTTCCTACAACATCTGCCCGAATCTATCGTAAATCCTAGTCATGTCTCCCCCCCCATTACCTGCCTACTCTCCCTAGTCCCTTCTACTCTCCCTCCCTAACTACCCTCCGCTAATCCTGGCCTAACTTGGCCAGACATCGGCCTAGCTCGGCCGATGGAACCAAGTTCTTGAGCCGTTAGTACTCTTAGGACACCTTGTGTCTACTGCGACTGAACCCGATTCCGCAGCCGAGCGCCCAGGCTACTACCCTATCTCCTACCCACTACACTACTTGCATCGATTCCAACTCCCATAGCCTATCTTCTTAAGCCTACCTAGTATCCGCCTACCTACCTGAGTACCCCCTCTCCCTTGTTGATTTCACGCACCTGTCTCCCCTCAGTACTACCAAGCCCCATGTTGCCTCACCTCCTTCCACCGCTTCTCTGTCCAACCACGGTGAGGTTCTCAGCTTGCCTTCCCTCACTTCTGCCAGAGCTCCCGCCGTCGCCCAGGTTTCCTGAAACCAGTTCAAGCCTGCCAGTCTATCCCCCTGAGTCACTCTCCTCCTCCAATCAGCTCTGATTTCGGTTTTCAGTAGTGTTCTAAACATCTTTTCTGCCACAGCTTTCGTCAGTCCCTGACTTTGAAATCTTCTGGCGTTCCTGTCCAACCAAATAGCCCACATCATTACCGCCCTGCTTACTTGGGTCATATATCCCCACCCCTTATTCCCTCCCTCCTCCTGGTCCAAAAAGCCCTGAAGAACCCAACCACACATCTTGTTCCCCTTTCCTGCCCGACATCTTCTCCCAGTGTCTGAACCATCATTGCCACCATTTCCTTGAGCGGGGGCAGTCCCACCACATATGGGTTATTGACTCGATTGGCCAGGCGCATCTGTCACACTCCATCTTTACTTGCATCCCTCTGTTGCCGAGCCATTTGGTCGTTGGGACTGACAGGTGAGACTGCAGCCACATCAGGGAGGCTACCTTTTGCGGAGGTAAACCAGCTAATTGCTTCCATAGACGGGTGAGTTGAGTGTCTGTTGGAACTGGTAAGAAAGGCTGCGCTTTTTCCCAGCGAGAGGTCAACTTATCCAACAACTTTCCCCTTTTAGCTTTTCTCTTAATGACTAGCGCAGGGGTAAAGTTGCACAGATCCGTTACTACATCACTTCCAGTCTTCCAGCCCCACTGTTTGGAATCTGTCCTCAGTTCTTGCACTGGAGTTCCCCCTGCCACTGCCTTGAACATTTTCTCCCCCCGCCTGCTGTCTAATGAGCTTGCCCTCACCCTTACCTCATGCATATCGCCCAGACCTCGTCGTACTATGGATTTGGAGTGGATCAGCGTGGCGTTCCCTGGGTCTGTCATAATAAACTCATCCATGTGGCATTTGCCCAGCCCATCCTCTTCCCAATCTCTCAGCAGATAGAGTTTCCCCTCTTCCTCCCCTGTTGTGCCCCGGAGCCAGGTCCCTGGAGGGTTCACTCCCTCCGGGCCTAACAGGCGCTTCCATCTCACGGGGATGGTTTATAGTAACATATGCAATCTTTCCACTTGCGTTGGTGGCCTGCCCAACTTATCCTTTAGCTGCTCCGGCGTGTGCCACATGTTTACTGACGCATTCCACAGATCACCCACTATGGACACCCCTCTCTGTATCCACTTCTGCCCAAAGCACCCCGGGGTGGCCGCTGCAGAGAATGAAAATCCTTCATTGTTCACGATGAAGGGGTTTTCGAACAGGGATTGGGCCTTGACCTCCTCCTTGGAATTCGGCTGCTCCCACATGTTTGGTCTCACCTGTTTCCAGGCCTGGACCACTCCTTTTCAGGATCCGGACTTGATTCGCTTGTTAAGAAACGCTTCCATCATCATTGCTAACCACACATTCGACGGATGACTCAGGCCCCATTCCTCCATTAGGATCCGTTCTGCCAACATGCACCAGTCCGGAGGGTCCGAAGTTTTTGCTACCTTCAGTATCCAGCCTGCCAGGAGTACCAAGTTTTGTGCTTCCGGATCCGTAATCACCAGCCCCCCTTCTTCTCTTGGAGTACAGACCGTATCCCATGCTACTTTGGCGATGTAGCCCTGGTTTTCGTCTGAATTTGGTTTCCACAAGAACTGTCTTGCAGCAACCTGAATGATTCTGAGGGTGGCGTTTGAGATCTTGAACATTCGCAGCACGTTGCCCCAACTTTTTATTATGGTTGTTATCCTCTCCTGCAGGATCAGTTCCTGAGAAGATGAGGAGTCTCCCAGCGCCACCTGGACCCCTAGGTACCTTTGTGCTTCTTGCTCAACCCCCTAGACAATAGATAGCGCACATCAAAAAGGCGTCTGCTGGACGAAATTCCAAGAAAAACACAAATTTCTTCCAATTGATCGCCGCCTCCGAAAGCTCTGCATATTGCTGAAGGCAATGGCTTAAGGCTTTGAGAGAGTCCTGTGAGTTGGTGGATAATGCCAACAGGTCATCAGCCAGTGCCTTGACCTGATAACCCCCCCCCCCCAACAGTTTCATTCCCTGTATCCTTGTGTTCGATCTGATTGCTGCCAGCAGAACTTCCAACTGGATAACAACGAGTAGCGGCACCAATGGGCAGCCTTGTCTGAGGAAGCGTGACAGTTGGAACTGGTCTAACAACACCCCATTGATTTGTACTACTGTCGTGGAAAAGGCATACAACGATCTCACCCATCAACGAAACGGTGCCCCAAAACCCAACACTCGTCATGACAAAGGTCCAATTGACCCTGTCATATGCTTTCTCAAGGTCGATTAGTAACGCTGCCATGTCAAGTTCTCCCTGTCAATAATTTCCAAGGCCTCTACCGCCGTTAAGATCTTCTCAAAGATGGATCGCCCTTGCACGAATGCCCCCTGGTCCTTACCAACCAACCCTGGCAGAAATCTCCCCGGTGTCAAGCGCATCAGTCCGGCACCGCACAAGGGCAGCGCGGGACCCTCCCGGCCGCGTCACGCAGGAGTTGGTCTAAATCCTCGTCGCGAATATACATGGAGTTTCCGCAAGCCGCTCCGACCGAGTGCGCCAGCCATACCTCTCGCGAGCCCCTACGACAGGACAGGGCCTACACGAGGCACGACTTACCTCCACCTTACGGGAGTTGTCACCTCCCTTCGGTGGGCGTATCCCCGCCGAGCTACCAGTCCACAGTAGGGCTAACTCATATCGACTCGCAATGCATACGTACACAAACGATCGCAATGATGGCGTACTATGCAGTATCCATACTCATGCGGTCCTCGTTAATCCCGAGGATCGCATTCGACACTCAAGTGTCGGCTGACACGCGCCTTGAGGGTTAATCTCTCGACGCTGGACAACCACTAAGTGCGGTTAAGAACCGCACCCTCTTCTGCACCCTGCGGAGAGTGGGTGGTACACAGGTTCATACCTGTGGTGGCAATCGTCTCTTATTGCCCTGGAGACCAACTCCATCATCTAGGGTCTGGGGAGAAGTCAAGGGTTTTAACTTTGACGACTGCCACGGACTATGACGTCCAACCATAAAAATCTAAAAAACAAAGAATAACAGGGGATCTCCCTCTTCTCTCAACCACATGATCTGTTTAACCCTTACGCGTGGTCCTAGTAGGCCGCGCGAAACACTCAAGTCATAAGTATATACATATTTAAATAAGGTTATTAATAAAGGACGATCACTTCTCACAGTCACAGTGGGCCTCCTCTCAGCCATATACATATGCATGTGAACGCAGCAGTTAAATCCAAAGTCCGAATCACCAAACATACCTGCAATCACATAAAAGATCCAACCCAAAAGTCCATGCACTACACGGGGTCAACTTCAACCATTCTCTGCACTCACACCCCTTGCTTTTAGCCATACAAGCCCCACTCTTGTGCAACTCCTCAAAATAAAATGTTCAGTACTTTTCTTTAAATGACCATTCGAAATAAAGTTCGGGTGAAAACACAACAAAACAATTCAAATCACAAGGCTAAAGCCTTTAGGTTGAGTGGCAGGAGTAAATTGGAGTTGAGTCGTAAACCGACGAATCGACAACCGACCTGTTATCAGTGACAACAGAAGACGATCCTCATAGGATCAACCTGAATCTAGCCCAAATCCTGAATCAATCGATCAAGAAGACCTGTAACACAAAACAGACCAATCCCCAAGCTAAAGTCATAAGTGTATGGAGAATACAACTCCATAACACACTCTCACCCAAGACCCTTCTACAAACTAAGCCTAGGTTTGCCTCTAAGCAAGTGCCCAAAGAAAGGTAGACCCTGGCAGAGTCTCCTCTATATAGAGTGGATTGCAAGAATCGCCACCTGTCAAAATATTATCAACTCCTCTAAACTAAGAAAATTTCGGCAGCGCTTCCCGTAGGAAAAGTGTCTTTCCATAAATTATACAAAGCTAAGTTCAGAATCTACAGTGACTTTGACTTTTCAAAGTCTAATTTTGTCTAACTCTCTGAATTAGCAAAAATTTGGTCAGCACTCCTTTTAAAAAAAGAGTTGTTCGTAATTTTTACTAAGCCAAAAAGTCAAAAAAGTTAGAACCTAAAAAAGACAAAGTCTGACTAACTCCTTGGTTTTGTAGAAATTTCGGCAGCGCTTCCCGTAGAGAAAGTGGCTTACCAAGATTTATACAAGGCCAAGTATAACAAAAGATCCCAGAAAATGCAGGAATTGAAACTAACTCCTATGGCTCTAGCACGTGGCGAGCAACTAAAGCAACTACCTATCAACCTGAAACTCAAACTAAGTAGTAGCCTCACTCAGTCACATGCAGGCGAAGCCACAAAAGCAAGTACTCTCCCCATCCCTAGGTCAATCTGGACAAACAATAGTTCGTAGTCTTTCAATGATTTATCCCTTTACCCCCAGCTTACATAGGGCATAAAACTAGACCACCGAAACTTATGGAACATGTCTAGCTCAGTCATGGAGTATACACAAACACACGGCACAACAATTTTTCTCTTCTTTGAGCATATGACTAAGCCACCATAGTCGCCCTGAACTGTTTAAATATCCAGACTTTATATAATTATCTGCATTTAGTCTTTTGAGGTAGCATATAACTGAGCCGATCATCTTTAGCTCAAGACTCGGTCTGCCCCTTCGTGCCACAAGTTTATTCTTAATTAGTACTCTCTTCAGTTGGTGATAGGCTATAGTCAGACCACCCAAACTTATGGAACCCTGTCTGACTAGCCTGTTCATAGATAGAATAATAGTAAAGTATAGTCAAATTATATCCTTTTGGTTCCAGCATGTGCATGGCATTGGACCAAGACCACCCAAACTTATGAAACTTGTCTGGTCCTTTGTCTGGTTCATTCTCTTAAAGCCAAGGCAAAAAGAAACTCACAAAAACCCAAAGAAAACAAGGTCGTCAGACTACCCAAACTTATGGATTTGACTGACTCCTGAAAAGTCAACCACAAGCAACTCTCGCAAGTTAGAGCAGTTAGACTACCCAAACTTATGGATTTGACTGACTCTCCACACAATCAAAAAATAAACACAGCACTAAGCCTTCCCAAACTTATGGAACTGGCCCAGCCTTGGTTGACCCAGTCAAACTCAGGCAATACTGCCTTCCTCCCAGCCTTCCCCCAGATGCAACCCCACAATCTGCTTTCAGTCAAACAACAAAGCTGAAACTGATTTTACACACACATTCCTTTACTTAGTCTGGATTGTGTCGTGAAATGCGAACTGAAAGTCAAAATAGGGAGACAGGCAACATACTCAATCAAAACATAGCAAGGAATACAGATAGGGGCTATAACTGGGTTTATAGAGGGAAAGCAATAGTTACCTCTTAGTTTCCTGCCTCCATAACTCCTCCTGAGTTCCGGCAGAGCTCCCACAATCGGTGGGCTGACTCCCCACAAAGTCTTGCAGCGGTCCTACGGTTGCAATCCCGCCTGCTGCCTTCCTCTCAGATCGAGACTAGACTTAAGAGTAAGAAGGGCAGAAGATAATGGGTTTCAGACGCTCGAGATACAAGAGAGGGACAAACTCAACTCTCATGAGAGGGCTTTGATACCTTCACTCGCCTGAGGGCCCCGCAATGATGGCCAAATAGTAGCAGCTTGGCCATCTTCTGAAGTCAAACTGCCGAAATCAAGCACCCGACGACCTCCCAATCCGCAGCACTAACCCCCTACTTGTCCAGTCTGATCATTCCTCTGAATCCCAACGCCTCCTTGTTGCCCCCTGATGGCGCGTTTCTCTCTCTCTCTCTCTCTCTCTCTCTCTCTCTCTCTCTCTCTCTCTCTCTC